GGCTCCCTCCCGACCAGGGTGGGAACCAGCGGCAGGGCAGAGGCTCTGCTGGTCCTCAGAGATCTGCCTGTGGTTCTGCAGCACCCTGGCATGGTGCTTAGCCTGCTGCCTTGAGGCAGAAGGGAGCGGCACCTGTCTCTGTGATACTAGGAGCGATTAGCCAACTCTTCCACGAGTGGGTAAACTCAGTCATCTCCCAGCAGGACACTGAGTTTCTTCCAGCCTTTGGCTGCCAGCAGGGCAGCACTGGGTGTTGCTGTGGGCCAGGAGGTGCATGTGCTCCCTTTCCATCGGGTCAGCCTTGCTCGGGGCTGACCCCACAACCCCTCTGGGCTGCAGCCAGCTGCCCGGGGAGGCTGCTTCTCACTCCTGCCCGCAGTGCTTTGCTGGGGACCTGGGGCGGGGGGGGATCTGGTGGAAAATGAGCAACTGTAGTTTTGCTAAATATATATTCAGAGCAGTTTGTGTCTTACTGCTAGAGCAATGGTGTGCTAAAGATGGCTTGTTTTACAAAGCATTTTCACAAGTAGATGAGCTGTTAATGTCACTGCTACCTGAGCGGATTTAATTGTGCTGCTTCTTGCTCTCAGCATAGCATGACATGCTGAGAATGAAAATCACATACCTTTTCGCCAGGAAAAAGGAAAAAAAGGCCGTATTCTGGAGCAGTTTTGAGTGTGTGTTTTCCCCAGGGATTCATTCACATATTGTTCTGAGCTGCTTTTGCTGCCAAGGTTTGCTGTGGCATTTATTAAAAGATGCCTTTCATATCATTCACCTTTTATCATCGCCACGGGTTTAATTGAAATGATGTGTCCCTCTTTCCTACCAATATCACATTATTATGGCGTGTAGTGCACAGATGTGCTCTCGGGTGCAAACAGGAAGTTTTTGGAATTAAAACTACACATTTCCAGTGAGGGCATGCATAGCTGTAAAGCTCATTTTCTCCAAAGGGTGCACACTCTTACCTACCAAACTCTTCTTTTTAGAGAGGCACTGGGGGGGGGGGAAAGGGGGGAAAAAAAAAACCAAAAAGCAAAGCCTTCCCCAGCTTTTTGTTAGTCCTAATGAATGGCTTCATACTGATTCTCTTTGTCCTTCTTGCTCCTGGTGTCCTGGCATACATGTGCATCTTTTATTTTAATGGCCACAAGAAGGGAGGGGAGGTGATTGAAGGGCAGGTTGTGAGCGCTGGCCTGCTGACCTCCCTGAGCACCACCTCAAGTCAGGCACGTTCAATAGCCCGCGTAGTCCCATGGGGTTTCTCTGGTGTTTCAGACAGAACCTGTAAAGACCAGGTGAAACCTTGATTATTTTTATTTGATTTTTTTTTTTTAGAAACAGCAATTTCGTGGGGTTTTCTTCTTAGTTTTACCAGGTAGGCAGAGAAAGGCAAACACCTGCAGCATTCAGGCACGGCGTGGCTGCTCAGGCAGCACAACACCTCTTCCAACCATGCAGCTTAGAAAACAGCCAGGGAGAAAAGGAGGAGCATGTGCTCTGAATGGAGATAAGCTTCAGAGTTTATAACACAATTTGGTATCAGGTGCAGTACATTTACAGCTCTCTGTATGTAGAAATGCCTGGAGTTCCCTCACAGGTCACCACCTGTGAGGACCAGGCATCTCCCAGCTCTGGGCACATCCATGTCCTGCTGATGGGGTGAGTTGTTGCCTGCTGTCGAGAAGCCCGTAGAGGAGGACAGGGTGTCATGGTGTACAAGCACATTATATTTAATAGTGCATCATTTCCAACCAGCATTCAGAGAGGCTCTCCAAATGTGCATGAGTGAGGTGACATGCTTGTCCAAGCCCCTGTAACATCAGTTTGGATCAGTTCAAGGTGTTCACACTCAGGTTTGATTCAATACCATTTCACAGGAAAAAAAAAAAAAAGAGTCAGTGTCCAGCCTGTGAGTCAGTGCTGGGTCCCAGACTGCAGGGTTGGTTATGTGAACAGGAAGAACAAATTACTCCCCTCCTCTTTGCAGCAGCCTGTGTATTTGAAAACTGCTCTCTCACCTTTAGGCTGGTGCCAGTGCTTTTGGTGTTTTTCCCTGGCCATGTTTCTGATGTCCAGGAGTGCGAGTGCTCTGTTAGCTGCCTCTTGACAGGAGCTGCATGCATGGGCACAGGAGGGACCCCCACCAATAGCTCCTGGTGCTGCAGCCCTCTAAGGGCTGTGTCCTGGGAGCTCTATTCCCATCAGGACACACCTCTGCTGAGCATCTTCTAAATGTTTGTAGTGAACGAGGTGGTGAGGATATTTGACAGAGGTGAAATCTTTCACAGCAACCAGAAAGTTGCTGCAGCACGTTTTCCACAGAGAAGGCCTGTTGGCCATACAGTGAATGCCATGGGCTTCAGAAAACAGGTGTGTATCTGAGTGGCCTTTTAAGGCCGTTTTTCAGCATGGGATGCAGATGGCTCTGTTGAACACCTGAGATCAGCTCCCAGCAGAGCTTCAGGCACAGCTGCAGGAGAAAGCTCTAGGTAGAAGAAATCACTGTCCAATGCCACTGTTACTCAGATGGCCTCTCCCGAGTAAAATTGCTGCTGTTAAACACACAAAAGCTGCCAGGTTTGTTGGAGAAATTGCAACTCACTTATTCTCCATACACTTTAAACTGCTGCATTTAACTTCCTAGCTCTGCAGCTGAGAATTCAACCACAGCAATAAACAAGCAAAAGGCTCTGCCCTGAACCCCGAGCTGCCATTTGGCAGGAGATACCAGCAGGAGAAGGCAGCTGAACCCCCGCGCCCTTTTGCTCAGCTTTAAATACCCACGCTGCTAAAGGGCACTGCTGAAGGGCTGCGAGAGGGCAGCTCTCAGCCCCTGCCCCCTCTGCCCAGAGTAGCCCTTGGGAGGAGATCTCCACCCTCTAAGGACCAGGTTTCATCCTGGTTGCAGCCTATGGGAGGCACCCAGCAGTTGGGATGCCTGCACTGCTGTTCCTGGTGCAGCTCAGGGGTGGGCAGGGCAGCGTGGGCATCGGGCCACCGGCTGCCCCCTGCAGACATCACAAGTGTGGAGCAAGAAAGAACCTCTGCTGCTGCCACTGCTGTCTCTTTGTTTGATGGTAGTGGCCAAAAAAAAGGTCTTTTTTTTCTGACTTCCAAAAAAGCAGCGGGTGATGGAATGGTAAAAAATGAACCCCCAGTGGCTGCATCTGCTTCTCTCATGAAAACTATTGGATACATATTTACTGTGCTGATTACACAGATCTGCCAGCCTATGGCAAAACAGAGCACTGTATTTGCCATTGCATTACCAAATTACAATTCATAAATATTTGAGGAAATAAGGGCATTTGCACATGCCATTAGCGAGAGCGCAGCTGCTGTATGGCTGCACTTGCTGTCAAGGCCCAGAGTGCCATGGTGCAAGCAATGCTTGCTTCACTGCAGTATCCCACACTGACAGCACACCGAATCCACTTCTGGCCGGATATATTTTTATTAAGGGCCAGTACAAACCCAAAAAGAAACTTCGAATCATTTTTGTCACTGTCCACCCAAAACAGAAACAGCCTCTAGAATGAATGTAGCTGAATTTTTGAACAGTCAGGTTCCAGGCACAATGCAAATATCTGCCCTTTATAAGGCTATTGGGTAATTTAAATTAATAAGTAGCTATAAACATGTATTGACATTCTCAGTGGAGAAATGCAGCTCTGTATTACAGGGCTAGTTCCCCTAAAATATCATGTACAGTATTTTGGTTCTTTCTTTCCTGCCAACAGTTCATGTAGATGTATGAAAAACATCTAGCATCTGAAATTTTACTATATTTAAGCTTCCAACTAAAAGGTAAACTTTTCAGTAATTACTACAGTAGTGTTATTTTTAAACCTTCACACTGATTTTCCCAATCAGCATTATCAAGACCATTCATAAGTGCACAGTTTATAATCTAATGATAAATGGAGTATCCATGTAGTTATTTGAGGGTGAGTTGTATCAGACAAGCAAAATGTTAAAGTATTTTCTGGACAATGCAGGTAGGAATGAAAGGTTACAGATCATGCTGAGTTTTCTGGTCTCCCTCTATCACCACAGATTTGGTTCTACTTTTCTTTGACAAAATAGACTTTCAGTTAGCTTTTCACTCCTTCAAGTTTGTTGTGATAGCATTGCCTACTGTGTAGTAACAACCTAAATAATGTATCTTTCAGCCCAGCCTTTTAGCTGTCTTCATACGTGGTGAAAATTCTACATGGCTGAGCCAGAAATACCTATTTATGCAAACATAATTTGGCATATGATTTCTCATGCAAAAATAAGAATCTACAACTCCTACAGAAAATTAACAGGATTCTTCGCACGACATTTTGGACTATGAGAACATACACAGTCACACTCTTCTTCCATCTTGAAAGAGACAGTCTCCTACAACACGCAGAAGGAGACACACGCTCTGTGCTCTGTCCCAGGCCCTGAGTGTCACTCTGAATCAGTCAGCTGTCCCACTCGCCATTGCTCTGATCATTGTTCTCCTCTTCTTCAGAGTCAGCAGACACCTTCTTAATTCTCTGGATGACTGCCTTAATGCTTCTCTCTAGCTCACTGGTGGAGCCTTTACCGACATCTTTCTCAGGCTCTCGACTCACTTTTCTTAGCTTGACTCCTTGCCTGATGGCAGAGAGGATGTTGTCTTTCACAGAGGCGTACGGGTTCGGCTGCTCCACTTTGCGAAGCTGAACTTCACCACGTTTTAGAGAAGCCAAAACCTCATCCATGGAACCTGCAACAGAAAAATCCACTGTTACCAGAAGAAAGAACAAGACAACCACACCTAGAGGTATGAAACCCTAGCCATGCGTTCAGGGTTCTTCCTTTCGTCTTTGCTAGAGACAGGAAAACAAATGGTCTGTTCTGGCACAGGCTCTCTCAAGTTTCTACATCATCAGGTTCTGGAACTCCTTTTAAAAAGCAGTTAAAGCTGTTATGTCTTGAATTGATAATCCAATGCCTCTTCAGCATTATGCAAGGTTGTGCTCCAAGGAAGAAATTATACACAAAGGAAGATGCTTCTTTTCCATTACAGCTTTATGGGCTTTCAAAAAAACTTCACTGAACCAAAGAATCTCTTGTATTCTCCTCCTAGCTTGCTCAGATGCCTGCTGAGACTGACAACTGCATTTTCACTCAGCCAAGGGAAAAATGAAAGGACTTGAGTAGAAGGCTTGAAACTGCACCAGTGTAGTCAGTGGGAGCCAGATCAGGCCCTAAGCAGGCAGCTTTTTTCTGTATGGATTTAAAAAATAATTCCCATTTTACAACACTATTTAAATCTCAGGTGTGTGTTTCTGAACTTCAGACCATAAAGGGCATCATACTGAGAGAGCTTCCACTCCTTCTCTTGCTACAGGCTGTAATCTGCTTTTCACTCCTCCTGTTGGATTCTTTGTTGCTATCTTCAGATTGCAGAGAGGGAGGCTGTGTCCCTGGACAGCACTCAGCTCCTGCATCCCTAGGTCCGCACCATGTGTGCCGCTCAGCTACAAGTATTTTTGCCACGTGCAGTGCACACAGGTTACGGGATTAACATCAAGCATTTCAAATGTAACCTTCTGCTAAGTCCTGTGGTACCTTCAGAGACCGAGATGCCAGGAACGGAACAATCAACGATCCTCCGAGTTGTCTTACACAGCCTTCAAGTAACAAAGTCTTAAATCTACTAATCAAATGGGCTGTCTGGTAAAAGACTAGTCAGACTAACAAATTATAAAGTAAGTTCCCCTTGCAAAGTGTGTTAACACGTTACAGACAATACTCTGAACACCAGACTATGAGCCTCTCCTGGCTTTTCACTTACAAAGACATGAGTAGTCCAGGTGCAACTAAACCAAACCTGTTTATGAAGCTGTTTCAGTAAGTTCCTGTGGCAGTATTTGATCAGTTACTATTAGATCAATTAACATGCTGTTTCACTTCATGAAATAGGTGTAAACAACTGATAGGATCTCTCCAACAAACAAAAAAGGATTTTTTGAATCCAAAAATAATGAAAGGACATCCACGTGAGGCAGTGAATAGCAGTAAATATTAGCTTCTATCAGGGCTGCTCCAGTAGCACCCAGACTACTCTGACGTACAACTCCTGTGGCTAAGCAACGCTTCTCAAGAGCGTCTGTGCCACAGCTATTCCCAGACTGAAGACCACACACTGATCCACTGGATGCACAGTAGTTTGTCATCCAAACGTGTCTCAGCCCTTCAGCTGCTTGTACTTCCCACACCCTGCAAGAACTGAAAATACTGAACTTTCCTTGGTATTTCTGCCGGTGGTTTGCCTCTTAACTGAGAGGATACAAAGGCTGCTTAGATGTATTGTGAGTAGTCTGAAAAAAAGAGTGCACCATATTTAAAGACACACTTCATTCTTAGCCTAAGCTCTACTGAAAAAAATGACACTAAGAAATTGCTGCCTTCCAACTTAGATCGATCTCCCTGACACACTCCAAATACCTGCTTGCTTTACAGACAAAAATAAGCCAGTTAGGACGATGTAACCAGTGCAGTTTTGGGAGGCTGCTGAGCCCTACTCTCGTTCAAACTACTGTTCCAATCCCTGACTTCAGCCTTCAATTACACCTGCATGATTCCGCTAACAAAGCAGAGGTGTAACAGAGCACAAGGCCAAAGCTATACATCTGCCTTCAAATACTGCTTGAATTTTGCATGAATTCTCTTAAGAAACCTTTATTCAGAAACCAGACATGTTGTAAGTGGATGCAGGCTGTGCCTGTGCTTAAAAATGCAAGCAGTCCACCTGCGAGCTCTGTAGGAGATAAATCATAAACACTAAAATGGAGCCTTACTACAACCACAACTTTACCCACAATGGTATTCTGACTGGACAGGTGATTAATCCTCAATCAAAATACCACATTAGGTTCAAAAGTTGCAAAACTGTGGCAAAAAAGAAAAATGGTAACAGAAATTGCTTCTCACCAAACAACATGAATAAACCTCCTCTCCTTTGGGGCTTGGACTAGATGATCCTTAGAGGTCCCTTCCAACCCAATATATTCTATGATTCTTTGGAATTTTTCTGACACCTTCCTCCCTATTACAGCAGTACAATTTTCAGTGTCACGAGAAATGCAGGTCCTGAACTAAGATCTCCACAGAACCAGCAGTGCTGTGACTAAGAATGGCTTAAACTAACTTGTAACATTGTACTTAATACTATGCAGGATTCCAGCAGAGATTCAAGTTCATAGGTGCCAGAAGATTAAGCTGTCCCATTTGACAGTACTTTCCCCAAGATGCTGAGTCACACACTCTGAGCACCAGGACCCTGTGAAGTGTGTCAAATGGGATATACAAATCATTGTTACTCATTTAACATCCTGAGCCGTGGGCAGTGTTACCTTATGTGGTTTTCTTAGACTAAGCTTTCCATGAGCTTTATTGTCTTGAGCAAGACTGCACACTGTTCCTGTCGAGAACCAGAGGGAGGGAGAAGAGAAAAAATACATGAAACAAAGAAAAAAACACCAGTCAATGGGAGCCTTCTTACCTATGTAATTATTTATAGGCCTCCTGGATGAGTCATCCTGTTTGTGCAGCACAGGGCTTTCTGTGGGGCTCCTGGAGCTAAGGGGAAGTGGCTTATCCTCTGCTGCTGCTGGTGGCTTTAACAGGAGAGGTAGGGGTGGAGCTGGGGGGGGAGGCGGTGGAGGAGGAGGAGGAGGAGGAGGTGGTGGTGAGGATGGAGGGACCACCAATCCCTCCCTGTGCCGTTTCTGCTCTGTGCCACCGTCAGTAACAAACACCTGGACGGGGGTGTCTGCTGGGGCATTCTGATGTGAGGCGTCTGATTCCTCGGCGTCCACCCTCAGGATGCTGTGTGGCTGCTGCGGAGCTGCCCTGGCGCTCGGCGGCGGGGCGGGGGCTGCAGCCTGCTGAGCCATGCTCCGTGGCACCCGGGCACCGAGAGCCTGGCCACGAGACGTCTTCAGGACAACGTGAGCTGGACACTTCTGAACAACAAATCGTAAGGCAGGTCACATCTCCACTGGACTGGCCAAAACATCAGCCCCAAAGAGACAAAAACCCAGAGAGTACAGACCTGCCCCATTCCCCCATTCAAGGAGGAAATTCAACCCTGAACAGACTTATATGAATCTCGAGGTATTGCTTTCAAAGCCATCTCCTCACTTTTATTCTTTGCAACAGGTTCTGCAACTGGAAACTACATCCGTAGTGGATTTAATCCTCTTGACTTATTACACACAATCCTATTTTAGGCTATCCTAATGGTTGTCTCTGATTTGGACCATGCTCACACTTGAGCTATGGCTACCTTCTGATGAGTTCTGACACCATTTAGAACTACTGTAGTTCACAGTACTTGCCTCCCTGAATGTTTTCAGCCTCTCCAGTGTTTTCTGACGTTCCTGGCTTATCCAAGCTTTTTTCTTTTTCTCCTCCTCTTTTTGCTTGTCTCTCTTCTGCATGAAAACACAAGGGAGCGAGCCTTAGTGTGTGCAAACAAGCAGCTGCCAGGTTCTGCAAGATTGCTACTCAGTACTCACTATCTGTATGCTGTGATGCTGCTGGAAGCGTTTTTTGCTCTCTTCTGCCTGCTGCAGTCTCTGCCGATGGCTGGATTCACACTGATCCTGGTAGAACAGCAACATCACACAACTGTTGGTTAGGTCATGGTTACTCTGCACCATCTGTGCCATTAATTCCTGTGCACAAGCCACCAAACAACAACCAACGCCGAGTGCTCGGCTGTGCCAAGAAGGATGGCTAAGCTCAACTAGTGGCAGATGTGAGACCCTGAAGATGAAGTCTATGGGATGACTTCATGGCTAAAGCCCATGGGATCTTTTATTTTCCTGATTAGTGGCAGGAGGAAATCTGCATGCTGCAGAGGAAATATACCCAGATCTGCACTGATCCCTGCCTTACACTTAGGTTCAAAAACAAAAGATAAGGGGAAATGAAAAAAAAAAAGCAGAAAGAAGCTCTGAAGAAATTTCACCCAAGTATCAGCTGGAGCAAAGGATGAAAAGACATGAGGAAGATGACAAGAGGCAAGCTAGCAGGACATTGCAAAAGTACAAGGCCACTTTCCCCCATCCCTTATTTGCCATACGTCCCAAGTACAAGTGCCAGGGAAGCAAAGGTATGGGAGCACGATGAATGCCTAACAGGGGACCTTCTGTTCACAGCAAAGTGCCACAGAGAAGCTGCAGGCTTCAGTGTTTTCTCTGGGAGTCGCTATTTGTCACTGTACAGAGGGGGATTACCCACAGGGCTGGGTAAGCAGCTGCAAATCATTTGGCATTTGGCTTAAGTGTTATATAACTGGTAGACAGCAATTAAGTGAGTGAAAACAGAAGCAAATGAAGTGTCTGCTGAGGAAGCAGTTGCAAGCAAGAGATAATGATGTCTCACAAAACGTTTCCAGTGTTATTCCCATTTTGTCCAGGCTAATGGAGGGTAAACAGCCAGCCAGACTAGAGCTTAAACTCTGCTCTCTGCCCCAGCAGGACTGTGCAGGTGTAAGGTAAGCTCAGGTTACTGGGAAGGTTCATGAGAGTCTCTTGTGTCTTCCTAGTGTTCTGCTCTGAATGGGAAAAAACGGAAAAAACTGCCCTTTGCACAGCACTGAGAGGCTGGAGAGAGAATTGCAGCAGTTACAGTCTCCCTTCCCTCCCATTCAAAGGTAAAATGTCACTGTGTGGCTTTTTCTGCCATTGCAGCTTCCTTCATTGCAGGCCAGGTTTCCTCCTGTACTGCAGCTGCTTTGTAAAAGCCTGCCAGGGCAAAGCTCCAGCTGGCCACAGCAGGGCTCTGGTAAGATTTAGCTGATAGGGGAACACCTCCTGGGTCACCCATGTAAGTTTGTTCTCTCTTAATAAGCTAGAAAAGCACTTGCACCACGCAGTGGAGTGTAAAGCTGGCTTAAGATCACATTGCCCCTCTTTCTGTTTGGAGGCCTCGGCAACGTGTCACGTATCATCTCGTGTGGTCCACCCAAAGCTTCCCTAGTTGCTTCCTGTCCATCCCTTGTGAGTCAAGACATCAGCTAAAGAAACTGCACATCTCCAGGACTGCATTTACTTTTTTGTTCCTGAGGTAGGCTCTCCTCGCACAGACAGTCCCACGCTTTGTCTCCAACTGCTTAGTCTTCTGCCTCAGCATCGTCATTTCTGACAAGTTAGCGTAATGTTGTCCCATGGTCTGTTCAATGACCTTGAGCTCCTCAGGACTTTCACATGTATCATAGTAAACAACTTCATCCTGTTTCTCTAAAAAGCATTTGGCATTCTTTTAAAAATCCAAAAATGGCCACAGTTAAACATTTAAAGAGCTAATGACATTTTAAAAGCCACTGAAGGCAGCGTGTTAGTGATTAGTGTACCGCTGCAGAGCCGAGCCTGGGCCTCCCAAGCCTCAGCCAGGCGGCGCCTCCTCAGGGGGTGCCCCGCAGTTATGCTGTTAGCACTTGCTGTTATTTACCTTCCTCTTGCAAGTGTTTGTCTGTGCTTTAACTCCTACCTTCACCAACTGGTTCTCCTGGAATAGTGAAGACTGTTCTGGTCAACACGGGGGGACTTAATTTACTATTTATCAGGTTTTAAAAATGCAGCAAGCAGGAGCAATGTTTACTTCACAGCACATATATTAACAGAGAATTCATAAGCACAAACAACACTAGTGCCTAATTTGGTCATAAACATGTTATGACGATACACTTAAACTGGAATATGGCAGTACTCAAGTACCACCTAGCTATAATCACCTCCTTTTGTCATTACAGGATGTATTTTGTAATTTCTTTGTGTTAGATTACAAAAGATTGGCCATGAATTTCAAGACCCATTTCAGCAGGCTGTGATACCTGCAGTTTCTATGCACAGATCCTGTAACTATGAGAGCAGTGAAGTATTTTCAATCTAAGTTATTCCATATGCTAAACCAGTTCATGCACACAAATTCTGTCAAGATGAGCTATCAGCGTGGCTTTTTGTTTCTTGAACTTGTGTTATCAAATTGGTGTCCCATTGAAAGACAAAACATCAGATTGTGCCACAGCATCAGTGTCTTCCAATGATGCTTTCTACTGTCAAGACCTGAGCAGCAATAATCATCCTGTTTTTTTTTTTTTTTTTTTTTTATAGTGACAGCAGAGCAGGCTGTATCATGCCTATGTTTTGAATATGTGCTTAAATATATTATTTCTTACCTTTAATCTGCCTCTTTAAAGTGTCCAACTGTACAATAAGCAGCATTTCTTCATGTTTCAATACTTCAAGCTGTACATTATATAATTCCAGCTGCGTCTCATAATACTGTATTTCCAGCTCCTCCACTACAGTTAAGTTCTCCTCTTGTTCACTGAGATCCTCCATCTGTATAACCCCAAATAGAAAATAAACCCCATTAGTAGTATACACACATTCCAAAGGTTACTCTCGCAGATGCTAACCTGACACCTTGGACTGTAAAAGCATGTATCTTAACCTTCGCTAAGTGTCTTCATATGTGCAGGAAGAACCTTTAAAAAATGGAGGTGTGCATTTTTCCACAACTTAAAACCATGCTGAAAACCTAAACTGTTTCATAGACAAAGACTTTGAAAGACTACTCCCATGACCACTTCGGTAGGTTTTGGTCAGCCCTTCACAAAACAGTGACAGATAAGGAGGATTTGCAAAGTCTTACGTTCTTCTGAATGACAGCTCTCTTCTGTTTCAGGCACAACTCTCTTGCCCTCAGATGTTGCAGGGTTTCTTTAGCTAACATACATTTCAGGTTTTCTAGTCGTGGCAAAGCTGATGCCCAGGTGGTTCTACCAAACCTTTCCTGATCTTGTTCCATCTGTTTGTGCATTGCTGCAGATTAAAACATTGCAATAAAATATGAGAAATGCAGCGTACTAATAGCCTTGTGTTTCTACTGTAGCTGCATATAAAAACGCTGATGCTATGTAACAATTTCTGAAGCTTCTTTAGAAATTAAAATACTACAAGGTTGAAGTTACGATTTTGTATACACAAGCAAAATACTCCATTGTATGCTGGAAACGCCTTATCAGTCACACAGCAACCCACTCTGCTGACATGCAGGCACCCTCGAGGCTCTCCCATCAAGCGTTAAGAGTGTGCATGCTTCTTGTTCAGCAGTTTGCAGCCACAGGCTTCAGCCCTTGATAATGTTGGTGTGCAAGCCAAATGCAAGCTGTAAACCAAACTGGCTAAAAGGTAAAAATCCTAAGCGAATAAAATGCTTCTTTCTTAAGCAGGAGACTCCATCCTAACCTCAGGGTCTGCAGAGAGAGACCAGCAAAGGTGATAAGAAGAGCTCTTGTCCCTCAAGTCAAGTATTTACACAATCTCTTGTGTAAATCATCCTGATTACCTGCCAGAGCCTTTACAGTTTCCTTGAAGTACTTCACAGTGATATCCTGAATGGAGCACACAGCATTCTCAGCTCGCTTAGTCCACTCTTCAGCATCTTTCTGCAAAGCTGCTACTCTTTTAGGCCCCAGATTATCATATTGCAAAGATTTCTGCAAGAAGACAAAATTCTCAGTTACCAACTGGTTAGCACAGTGGTGCAGCCCACATTATGCTATACTTAGATTTCAAGCAAGGCAGAGCATGGTGGCAAACACGACCTTCCCCTCACCTGCCAGAAAGCAAATCACTACTCATGCCTTATGTATTCTTTGTTCCTTATTCTCTAGGCTAACTCAGAACCTTCATCTTCCCAATCATGACTTCACACTTAACTTTCAATTAATTTATTTCTTAAAATATTTTTAAACTGTCACCTTAAAAATTATGTCCAACACAACCATTTTTACTTGTTACTAAAAGTAACACAAAACCACTCCTCTATGTGCAATGTTCCCTTCTATTTTTCCCCACGTGTTGACAGCACATTGCACTGTCAGGTTCTCCGGTTTGGCAGTTCTTTCACACAGGAACAGGGATATAGAAAAGAAACATAAGAGAATATTTTCAAGTCAACAAAGTGTAAATGGGTACAAGCCTAGCATTCAAAATTTTTTTCGTGTAAAGAATTAGATTTCAAATGAGCCTAAATATCCCTTAGAGTTTTGGTTTTTTGATATAGAAAACAAACCTTCTGGTTCACTTATTCCAATTTTCACTTTAATTTCCAGTACAACATAGTGGATATTTTATTTTCACAGATTTAACTAGAGTATCCAAGAAGCTTACTTGAAACTTAAAACTGTCCTGCTCTTTTTGAGAGCACAAACACTCACTTTAACACTTAAGGATAAATCAAAATAGTAGATGGCTGTCTTTTCCAGGAGCATCATAACTTTCAGTATGTTTCCAGTTTTAAGCTGCACATAAAACTAAATGAACACAGTAGCAACTGACATGTTCTAATCTGTACTTCCAGTAGGTTGTAGCAATGAGAGGAAAAGGCTTTGTGCAGCAAGGTCTCCTCTACCTTCTGTTCTGCCATCACAAGTTAACCTGGTGCATCAGCATTGCTGGGGGATGGCATTCTCAAAATCACAATCTAATCCCACTGAAGGTGGCACAACGAAGGCTGCTTGGATCTCTGTAAAATCAGCCTACGAGAAAGTAAACTCCAGAGAGGTGGAGCTTTGGGATGCTTTCCTCTGAATTCCTCAATACAGAGGGAAGTGAGACACTGACAGGAAGACAGCTGCAGTTCTATTCAAGCCAATACTATGGACTCTGAGATCCTCTAAGAGTGGTTCTGCCCTAACTGAATTTCTCAGTCATGTTTCATGGCTTGGCAGGGGGGAAAGTAGTAGGTACAGACAGAAGTAGGGAACGTTAAGTGATTTGAGTCCAAACTGCTCCAAGAGCAGCTGATGCCCTCTACATAACTCGGCCTTTCATCTGTACAGGCAGACGTACCAGGATTTCCAGCTTGTACAGCGTCGCCAGCTCTCGCATGTCTCTGAAGGGCTGCAGTAAATACTGGTAGAACTGTGTTGCCATGGTGACCAAATCCTGATAAGCTTCGTCTTCTTCTTCATAAACCTTCATCAAAGCCACCATTGTGTCAGCATTTTTATGCTGCTGCAGAACCTGGTGGGATAAAAGGTCAATCAGACTTGGCTGCTCTGCATTTGCGTGTGCCCCGGCCGTTCGTGGCTCGGCGAGAGGCGAGGCCTCCTGCTGCCCCTCCCTGCCACAGCGCCCTCAGCTCCCCGCTGGTAAAGCACTAACTGCTGCATATTGCTCTGGGAAACCAAGGAATATCATGCCTAGGGCTTCCACCACAGAAAGGCTAAGAGCTGCACACAGATGCTCGGGTTGGTGCTTTTTATAAACGCAAATGGGAAACTGGGGAGGTCTGCGTGCTGGAAGGATACATGAGGTGGTGTTAAGCTAGCTCTTGCATTGCTTCCACAATTACTAAATGGCTGCTAACATGAAATGAGTTCCTGCATCCTGAATTTCTGACTTTGGGCACAGCAAAATCAGACTGCCATTTAAAAAAAAAAAAGAAATTCAGACACAGATTTACTGATATACCTCACAGTTGAACTGCTTTAACGTTTGTCTAATAGGTTATTCTAAACTCAGTTCTAGCAATATTACACTTTGTAACTTACATGGAACAACCACTTTCTTGATACAGTAGTCGTTAAGGCCTTTACTTTGACAAAATACAAAGTTGGAAACTTCCCCTCAATTACTTTGTTTACTGGCACAAATCAAAGCTTCAAAGGTTTTCCTCTGACAGGAGCTAGCAGGCCCCACGGTGCACTCCACGTGCCAGGACACAGTGATCCAGCTGAGAACACAGCTAAGTTCCACTACGAAACAGATGCTCCTGGGAGGACAGTGTTTGCCCTGGGGCTCTCTAAGGAGGGAACAGGGGTATTTGGTGCTACTGTGACGCAAGAAAGCGTCAGAAACATAAGCCTGACTGTGTTGCAACTGAAAAGCACCAAAATTAAACCACCACCTTTGCTCTTGCCAGCTGAGTCTGGGTAAGACAACAAGAGCAAAGTTCCCAGCTGTGGAGGAATTTCCCCAGGGAAAATCTGTGGAAGTCAGCTCAAGGGCATTTCCCACCCATCCTCCCTCCAGGCCTGGCACAGGCAGGATAGAACAAGAGGCTCAGAACTGTAACACTTCTGATAATCCCAGAAAGCCTGATGCCCCTTAGGCTTCCCCAGGAGCTCACAGTGGCTCACACATAGTCCCAGGGCACATCCGCAGCAATCTAAGTCTGCTTTTTACCCCCACTACGGAAGCCAAACAAAATCCTTCACTCTGTTTCCCATGCTCATGCTGCTCCCAGGGGATATTTATACTGAGTAGAAGGGAAGTATAAAGTGAAATGTTTAAGCCAACTCATGAGACAATTATTCATTACAGGGGTTAGGGCTATTTTTTGAGATGCCAACATTTTGTCCACTTCAAAGAATTCCCCCCCTCCAATCTGATACAATTTTCATAGAATTCTGATTCACCATTAGCCCAGCTGATTCCTTTGGTTGTTGTAACAGTATTGTTCTTGGGGTTTTTTTCCATCTTAAAATACATATGCAAAAAAGTATTGACACAATACTCTTCTCCTCCATCTTGTACCAATATCTTCTGCATTCCTCAAGGTTAATTTCCTGGCCCAGAGGATTAAGTATTTGAGGAGGACATGTATGTAAAAAGGCAATAAGAGTGTTCTCATACTTAAGGCTAACTTGGTGTCAGAAGAGGCAGGTTTTATTTCTTGAATCTTGTGTAACTTGGTTTAAACTGCAATATAACAAATATATGTCCCTGTTAGGCCTGCAAATACAACACTCCATAGCATGTTTAGCCATTGGTAAAACAGAGTTGGAAACAGCAGAATAACTGGTACTGGTATGCTTAACCACCAAATCCCAACTGCCACATGGCTGGCTGTACACACCTGTAGTGCTGGCACGAGAGCATGGTGGCGAGAATCTATTTCTAACTGGGCTGTGAACTGCTGTAGTCAGTTACAGAAACTGTAGCTGTTGTACACAACACTGTATGTGAAGGTTCTACAAACCAAAGCTTCTTTTTTTTTAAAGCGCCTTTCTGAAACAGTAATGTTGCTACAGGTGTTAAATACCAAAATAGGAAACAGAAGGCTAAAGCCAGCTGTCTTAACTTCCCTCTAAAGCATGATCATTTTAACAAAACACCTTTCAGCTTACTTTGCCAGGAAACAGACTGCAACAGATACTGCATGAAAACTAGAACATCAACACACTGGTGAGCTTAAATTATCTGTAACTCCTGTCGTAACACACTGGTGTCCTAATTGCAACCATGTTACTAGATAGCATTCCTCAAATTCATGCTTCCACATCAAGAAAAAAAATCAGTACTAAAGGGAGAAAGGGCTATCATCACTAGTTCATACAATCATTAGGCCAGAATTTGACTCTTACAAAAATGTAACACAATTCCTCTGACTACGAAACATCTATGTCGCATCAGTCCATAGTTAAGTTTGGTTTTAACAAAAAACAGAATGCCCAAGTTAAAAGCATTACCGCAAACAGGCAGTCAGAGACCTTCACAGGGAGGTTAGAAAACAAGCGTGATTGTACTCTCTCTTTCAGTCACCCATCCACCCATTGCACAACACTGCTGGGTATTTTTAGCAATGTGTTTTTGTAGGAATACTTGCAGCGTACTTAAGCGCCCCTGTGTCTTACACTGACTGCCCACCCGAAGCTGGATTATTCCCCAGTTAATAAAGTAGCACATACAAAGACTGATGACAGTGCTTAAGAAAGTTGACTTTGCCATTTCTAGCTAATCGAAATTAAGTGTTTGTGCAAGCACTAATCTGAACATCAGACAATAATATGGGCAAGATGGCATTGGTGACTTGGTTCCTCCCGCCCACATTAGCCAAATGTGAGTCTGACCCGAGGGACTGTTCTCTCAGCAGAGGCTGCCAGCCTCATGCATCACGCCTGCAACTCCCAGGTGGGCAAGATGCCTTCACTAAGGGAAGCCCCTTTTCTACCAGCCGGGAAAGAGGGCATCGGCCCTGCAGCACGCCCAGGCCACAGGGACCGCCT